ATTTCTTGTTTTATTCAAACGATTAAAAGNTGTAGCAAAATCTCATTATTATAATTAATTCCATGAATCTCATAATACATAATACAACTTCAATCTCTAATAATATGTAATATTTGGCCAATAATTTTGAAAGCATTTCTTGTTTTATTCAAACGATTAAAAGGTATTCAAAATGAAAGAGAAAACAACTCATAAATTGTTTTTTTTGAAATAATTGATTGATTCAGGAATTTAATTGATATTTTCATATACCAGTACATTATAAAATACCTTTTGTCAATTTATTCAGCAAACTATTAAAACCGCTATTGAAAATCTAAAATAAGTTTTTAATAAATTCTAAAAATAGACTTATAGTTATAAAGTTTAAACTAAAAACTTACTTATTATTAAAATTAATTTTAAAAGAAAATCATATTTCGGTAAATTTGGTGTCTATGTGAGATAATAGGACCAATTTATGGTGTTTGTATGGCCTCTTACCACCCTTTTAGATGACAGCACCGGCATTAGTCATCAACAAATCAATTAAAGACTAATTCTGTTTTATAGACTAATGACTGGACCCATAGTAGACTCTAATGCTAGACATTAAATGCGAAATCGATATCACGATATCATAATAAAAGGCAACAACTATTAGGCCGATTCTAGTGGTCTGTCTTATATTCATTGCATCTATTTTTGTATTCATATGTAATGGTAATGTATCCCTAGTTTCTAAGGGATACCTACAGTATAGCGCAACGGTCTCGATGTTTAGACAATAACTCATTGCAAACAATCAAATGAATGACCTTTTCTTATATAATAATAATAAAAATCTCGTATCAATGGATGAGAAAAAGCAATTTCTAGTGAAAAGATAGTCAAAGTCTATGAAAACATTGAACACAACGATAAATGAATGTCCTTCACAGCAATGGGAAGACACACTCAATATAACTGACACTTCTTTCACACAGTTATCAGTTTATCAGTTATCAAACGCTTTAATCTCGTTGTATAATAAGTTGTGTGACTATATCACACATAAACTTTTTAACAATTAATTATATCTTTGTACACACAATACAAATATTGTAGTAATTGATGTCAGCGCTAAATAGGTTTATGTCTGCATTTGTATAACTTGTAGATTCCCTATCGGTGCCAAATTCTATGCTCTAACAGAATAGGTAGTCCTCCTAATACCACAAAACGAGTATTTCGTGACATTATGTTCAGTATTAGGATTGAGACACAGAATAACATAACGGTTCGCGCCCTCAATACAGTGTAAGTTATATGACTAATAGATTACTTTTGCTTATATTGATTGTAAATGTCTGCGGCTGACAGATATAGACTGAATTCATACTCCGATAGTTACCGTTCTTTTACAGACTTGTCAGAGAAGTCTACTACCGTTCACTACTCTCTGTTCTCACCGTAAACCGAGCTCTATAAAGTGATTGTCATTCAAGCACAGGCCGTCAATTTTGAGACAGGAAGCGGCAGATTGTGTACAGCACTGGGACTGGGATTCGCATCAACTCTATTATGAATCCTACACTACTCTCACACACCACTAAAAAACAGCAACGAATGAATAGATCCAGAGTTACTCAAACATACAACACATCCCTCTCCAACTCCTCTCACATCATATCAAACAAAAAATTTATATTTTTATATTAATTGAAAACTATTGACATAATGCATAATAGGGACCAATGGAGCAATAGTTTAGGACTACCCTCCGCTTTATTACAACATACAGTATCCTACAAAAGCTCTGATTTCCTTATTAAACACTTATTATCGTATATAAAATACTACTGTATTTATGGCAAACAATCGTAGGTTTTTCATCTCATATGCGAATCATATCGACTGTCTATATCTGACTTAAGTATGAGGCTATCAATGGCAAGAAAATGTCTGAACAGTCTCTTCAGATGATGGCAAGTGATGAGAGACAAGAGTGGCATTTGGCTCGAGATATTTCACTAACAGTGAGGGCACAGGCCGTCAATTCTGAGACAGGAAGCGGCAGATTGTGTACAGCACTCTCAGGCAGTGGGACTGGGATTGGCATCAACTCTATTATGAATCCTACACTACTCTCACACACCACTAAAAAACAGCAACGAATGAATAGATCCAGAGTTACTCAAACATACAACACATCCCTCTCCAACTCCTCTCATATCATATCAAACAAAAAATTTATATTTTTATATTAATTGAAAACTATTGACATAATGCATAATAGGGACCAATAGAGCAATAGTTTAGGACTACCCTCCACTTTATTACAACATACAGTATCCTACAAAAGCTCTGATTTCCTTATTAAACACTTATTATCGTATATAAAATACTACTGTATTTATGGCAAACAATCGTAGGTTTTTCATCTCATATGCGAATCATATGTTAATTAATATATTTATTGTTATATAAAATGCTATTAAAAATGAAAGCACGTCTCTAAAAGGACTGGCAGTATATGGCATCAAAAAAGACTAATTATAAATGTCGTTGTCAGACATGTCTGGTTGTCTATGGAGGTATCACTATTGCCAACTTCATAAGTTAGGATATAAAAACATTTTATCAATATTTTCGAGTAAATATCGAAATCGATGTTTTAAATCAAAAATGTTTTTAATAGTTTAATAGACTTATAGTTAAAACTCACTTATGATATAAACTCCGAGAAAAATTCATGTGAACTTGAATTATGAGAAAAACAAGTTTTTCACTGACTTTTAAAATTCATAAATAATTCTCTCTCTCTCTCTCTCGCTCTCTCTCTCTCTCTCTCTCTCGCTTTGGAACAGAAATTCCTGATGTGTTTGAAGTACAGCTAAACCTTAAAGTTCTTCCAAAATCACATTCAATGTAATAATTGATTGCAAACATTCAATAATACCCTCTCATGTAAGCAATTATTTCTCAATCATAAGAATAATCTGTTAATTATTAGCATTTAATAACATACTAGCCATCAGTTATTAAAAACCTAGTAATAAAATACAATTACTTTTATCTCATGTAATATCTAATAAATACAATAATTGTAAGTGTAGTGTAGTTTTCAAGAGTTGACTCAAAAAAGCAAATATTTTAGAAAAATTATTTATTCAAACATTTGAAAGTATTTATTAACTATTTATTTGATATTTGCATGACTTGAGTGCCAGGCAATTAACATCATATCATAAATGAGTTTTAGAGTAGTCTGTGCCCAACGATTGATGTATTCATGAAAATAGTTGTATAATAGATAAGAGGACTAATCGTAAAGCAATTCCTGTGCCGTCCTATACGACAGGCCATAAGGAATGCCAAACACACGGAGTTTGTAATGAATGAGATGTTTATACAATGAATACGTGATACTATAGTGACTCAGTTAGCGATTACTTCTGAGAATATCTTATCTCACATTATATGACACAACGAAATGACATAATTTTTAGTATTGTATAACTTTTGTTACTTTTGTTTTGCTTTAGCACACAATGCTATAAAACCAGTGCTGAAGGGCGTCATAAAAGCAACAAAACTATACTCTTATTTCAATAATCCTTTATTACATTTAAAGATTTTTATTTATTTAGAATTACAAGAGTTTTTCATCAAATTTTGATTTATAAATATAAAACATTCGTTAATACAAGTGATTCGCTAAAAGTTGGTTTTCATAGCAATTACACTATTAAAAGCAAAATTAAATACAAATGTTATTAATAGCGCTTCGGAGGCTTTAGGAGTATATAAGAGACTGTTTTGAAAGCCCGGAGAGAAAAAGAGTTTATAAACGATTTGTTCCCACAAATACTCTGTTTATACTGTTATAGCAATTAATTGTAAGGACTATTATATTTAAGTTAGTATTTTAGAAAAGAGATTATTATAAACTGACATCACTTTGGATTTAAAAATGTTTTTCAAAATTTCAAAACTTCGATATCAAATCATGTCTTGTTTTTAAAATGTGTTTTTAGTGTACGCTTTGGGAGCAGAGATTTAACTATTTTTCAATGTCTGAATGTTTTGTCTGTGAAAATTGATTTTCGCTGTTAATTGTAATTCAATATTTCGGGTAATATTATGTTATTCGGGAAATGAAAGTATGAAATCAGAATCCAATAGAGATTTGTTGTTGTTTTGACAGATTTTTTAGCTCTCGTCTAATGAAAATGAGTAGTAATTGTAATTATATCACACATTCCATGCAGTAATCAAAATCAAAACAATGAGCACACAATCACTTTATGGTATACTTTATGAGCAAATTTGTAATAAAATTAAAAATATTTTCACAAATGAAAAAAAATGCCAACAAATCATATCATTGATATTAATTATGGGATTAAATGAGTTTTTTATACTTAAATTCATATAAGAAATATTTAAATAAAAGATCATAAATTCTATATAAGTTAGAGTAAAAAGCATCGTTTAATATAATTTAAATTAATTAAAAATTTCTCTTAAAATACGAGTTTACGGTAAAAAAAATAATGTCTGTCATGCGATGCAAATAAACATATTATGCGATCAATCGATTGGTTTGAAAATTATTTGTTGTTTTTGTTCATAAGATTTGGTAAAAAAGCGATGGAATGCCGAAAAGAAGAGACAAATAGTAATATTTTTTTTATCGATTATTATTTAGTTTTCAAAATTGAATCAAAGAGTAAAATAGATATTTAGAAATAAGACGGCAGTAGTATTACAACGATATAAGAACTTACGTTAAATGCTATGACATTATGAGAGAGTTTTGCTTTTTATAAACTAAGACCTAATGTATGGTAAAAATGTGACCAAATATTATAACATATGAGTAGTAATTCATTTGTAGCACAATTTCAATTAGATTTATAAGTAATACAATCAACAGCTGATACAAACAGCTCAGCACTTATACTGTATATACCAACCAATAAGAATTAAATATATATATATTTATAAAAAAATCATTTAAAATCAAATTATGTAAGAATTTAGTCCCAAATGAATAAAAATGAAAAAAATTAAGAAAATTGGCTCAAAAACAAAGTAAAAATTGATTAAAATTTTTGGTCATTTGATGGGCTGTTGAGAGTATGAGAGAGTAAATGAATTAATTATTGTTAGACTACCAACGAATTCATTCTTTTTTGTCGCCCGACTCGTCGGCCGTCCCCTTCGCCGCCTCTTCGGGAGCACTCTCTTTGGTTTCTGGCGTCGATTCCGTCGGCTTCTCTTCACTCTTCGCCGCCTCTCCGCTCTTCTCGGCCTCGGCTTTCTCTTTAGCCTCCTTTTCCTTCGCCTCCTTCTCAGCCTTTTCCTTCTCCTCCTTCTCGGCCTTCTCTTTCTCGCGCTTCTCCTTCTCAGCCTTTTCTTTCTCCTCCTTCTCCTTCTTCTTGCGCTCCTTTTCCTCTTTGTCTTTCTTCTTCTTCTCTTCTCTTTCCTTCTTCTTCTCCTCCTATAACATACAAAAGCATTCAATGGTCAGAACGAGTGGTCACTCGCGTCAGGAGTCGTCTCCAGTGGCGACAAACCTGTTGTTTCTTTTTCTCCTCCTTCTTCTTCTTCTCGTCCTCTTTCTTTTGCTCCTCTTTTTTGATTTTCTCCTCCTCTTCGGCCGTCAACTCCTTTTTGGGCAAATGTGTGTTCATTTCCAATGTGGTGCAGATCTGATCCCAATCCGACCAATACTTGGATTTAATGCGGTCCAAGAGAGCGATTAGGTTCGGGGTCTCGGTTTCCAACCACTCTTTGAAACCGCCGAATGGGATGTATAGGAATTGAGTCAAATGAGCGAAAGCCACGCAATCCAACTGAGAGGGGAGACAGGGGTTGGTTAGTGTCACGGCTGGGCTTACAGCAGACAATTCAGACAATCACATACCAAATGAGGCTCTTTGCCAAAGAAGTAGTCTTTGTCGCCGAGGAAGTCGCTGAGCGCTTTGATGTCAGCCTTTCCGAAGTCGTAGATCTCCTGTTCCGAGTGGTGGCCTAAGCCGTGAGCGATGACAGTGTTTCTGTTGGCTCTGAATCCGATCTTGAAGAGCATGTTCACGAGACGGGCCGGCATTTTCGAGTTAAGGGTGCGCTTGATGTCCAACTGGGAGGCCTCGACGAAGGCGTTGGGGTTGTTGTATCGCCACCAGCGCACGACCCAAGACGTGTGGTTATTCAGCATAGACTGGAACGCGTGGCTCACCGTCTTCTGGTCGGTCGTGAGGCCTTCGTCCAGGTCTTTGTCGAAGTGTTTGGTCAGATCGCGGATAATGATGTCGGAGTCGGCGATCTCCTTGCCGTTGAGTTCGACGAAAGGCAACTGTCCCTTCTTGGACTTGTGCACCGGTCGGGGCTCTATGTTCTCGAAGGCCACGCCTGACATCCGCAACCAGTTCTCCACTTTCAGACAGAACATGGAGGACGAGGGGATGGTCGGGCAGCGGGCGAACTGATACAAGTAGACCAACTCCTTCTCGTAGTCCACTTTATGGACAGTGGGCTTCGGGAGGGCGGCCTTCTTAGGACTGGCCGTCTCGGCGGTCGACGTCTCCGTCTGCTGTTCGGCCGTCTCCGAGACGGGAGACACCGGCTCTTGAGTGCCGGTCTGGTTGTTGGCCGACTGGTCCGCGCCAGCGGTGGCCGTCTCTGTGGTCGAAGTCATGGCTGTTCTCTGCAATCAAATCCATGCCATAAGTTGAGTGCAAAGGAGTTCACAGACAGTGATAGCGAGTGACAGATAGGAAGACAGATAAAGAGACAGAGTATACAGTATTGAGAGGTTTTGGGTATACATTGAGTGCAACTCCAGTCAAATGTCTTGACAGGCAATGTCTGGGCGGCAGCGGTGGTGCCGTGACTCCGGCCGTCACCGACAATCACTGACAGTTCATAATTACCTGAATATGGATGAATTGGATCCGTTTGAAGTGGTGATTGAGTGATGGGTGCAACGGTGATGCACTACAGAGTATTATACAACTGAATGGTATTTAATGTGTGAATAGTGTGTGAAATGGCGACAACACTATACAGTCGAGTGTAATGTGTATCCAATGCTTAACTCTATGCAAACTCTATGCACTGCACACACACTGCTATACTATGGCTATGGCTCGAGTGCTATAGTCTTATACACCGCACAATCCCTACACACCAGCGCTATTACAGTGAGTGCTCACCACCACTACTACTGACGGTATATTCGCAACTGACTGTACTGTTCGTCAGTGCTGTCTAATGTAGTGTAAGTACAGTGAACTGAGTCACAGAATGAATCAATGGTTGGCGGTATGAATGCAACAGTAGGTGCAGAGAGAGCGAGGCATCGACTATGCGCTGACTGACTGTGAGTCTGACTGCACTGTACGGCAGTCTAACACTGCGAGCACTGCTCAATGTCTGTTCATATGAAGCAAACGTGTATTTTTTGAAAGTCAACCCAAACTGCACATTGAGTGCCACTCCCGACTCAACAATGCAGTCATGTTAGCGCAAAATGCCACTCATTGGTGCATACATAGGCGTACATACACTACCAGTGCGAATACACTGCCAGCTCATACACCATACACAGCGACCAGTAGTCATAGCAGTGCTCTATTGCCTGTCATTTTGGCGCTTTTGTCTCCTCTTACCACTCATCCAAACCTCCCGGTTATGCCATGGGATGGGATACGGGATCACATCCATAGGCGACTCCATCTCCCCCTCCCGTCGCTATCAAACCCTAATCTAATGATTAGCTCATTATATTAAACCCTTAGAAATCTCTTATCTCCACTAACTTTGTGGTTAACTTCACCAAACAGTCACACCCTCCCTGTGCTCTCTCTCTCTCTCTCTCTCTCGTCTCTCTACTAATTGCTTCCTCTCATACACTCAACCAAACACTCTATGAGTTGACAAATATCTGCGATATCTTACTATTAATCACTTGTTTTACAGTTAATTATATTTCTCAAACACTTGTCATTTCTTTCACTATTTCTTATGTGTGTATTAATTAATAACATTAAAAACTTTTTGCATTCAGAGAACTAAATGACACGAGTTTTCCGAGTATTTCCTCATTTCTCGTTTCGACTCAAAACAAAACTTTTTTTCAAAACTTTTGATCATAACTTTTATTATAGCATAAGTTTTTGCACTGAAAAGAGTTACATTTGTTGTCATAATTTATAAGTTATTATTGACACTAATAATAGCGAGTCATAACTTATACAGTACTGTACCTAATCTTATCGCACAAATGGGGTATTTCTTACTTAAACTAAATGTACAGATAGTCTACAATTGCATCCCTCGTATCATATCTCGGTTTGGAGTAATTTGTTTGAAATGTTAGTTTAATAAGCAATTGCCGTGTAATCTGTAGTCAAAATACTGTACCTCTACAGCAATACACTTGACGTTTGGCACACAACTCATTAAAACACAATTATTTAGAGATTTATTTTCATTTATGCAAACATACAAACAATCGATGATTGCATTGCTTGAACAAAACCTCATCTCTATTTTCAAAGACAAACTTTTTTTCCGTAAAGAGTTGGAAAAAAAAGTTTTGTTTTATTTTTCACGAAATGCATAATATTTATCGAAACCAATACATAGAGCGGAGAAATGCCAGAAATATGAATATAAAAAACATATTTTCTCCGCAAATTCTCACACATATTATCTATTTTACGACCGGCCCTTAAGTCTGCAAATTTTTTTTCTCCAATATTGTAGTCATGTTTAAAGCTTTGAATTTCTAATTTAACTTAATTTATTTTAAAACATACATACAATGGGTATCACATAATATATCCTTATTAAATATGCCAAATCTCAAAGAGTACACAATTGGCCACTATATCTGACAGCCATTCCTGTGTGCCATGAGTGCCAGGAATGCCATAAATCATGTTCTGGACGCAGACTACCAGCCCATGAGGTCATCGCTGATCTACTCTATGTGTACACTATTCAGGGAATATAGTGTATGAATAACCGGAATATAATGTGGAAGTAGTTCACGATTGTTCACAAATTGTCAAAATAGTGATATAGAGTTAGGGGTCACGACTCATGGCTGTCACGAACTTTTTTAATACTCTTTTTCACCGACTTTTTACCATCTTTTTGCTGATTATCTCTATGTTGCGCTCAATTCTATCCAAATGTGTTAAATAACATGTAATGTATGTATAAAAAAACGAGGCATTAAATGGCATAAAATATATGAGAAAAATCTCATTTTCACAGTTCCATTCAAAATAGACATTAATTTTATGTTAGGAATTAAATAATAGCAGTGTTTGTGTTATTTTGGCTCACATTCAGTACAGCCGTAAGAATACAATGAATTGTGTTTTATTTAAGAGTTGGCTATAATTTTTCTCTCTCCGTGTATTTAACGAGTTATGTGTAAACACTAAACTACTTTTCAATTGAATATACATTTTTGCAAATCAAATAAAAAATTATCACAAACTTATAATAACAATAATATGTTTGTTTGTATGAGTTATTTATTTGGCTTTTAAACCGAAAAGTTTTATATATAACTAAAACTCACTGTAATTTTAGCGGAGATGTTATGTGTGTTTAGTATTCTCTATTCGCATAAAAAATCATTTTAATTGAATTTTTTTGTTTCAAAAAAGAAGTTTTAAAAACTTTTATATTCTTTTTGTCCTAATTTAGGATGAATTTTGCTTTTTTGTACGAATGCTTAGCAACCAAATAGTATTAGCGAAGAGAAAAAATAGTTAATACTGTATTTGAATTATATGTATTTCAATGGCTATAACAGTAATGCCTTTTAGTCTATTTATAAATATAAATTAATAATTCATTTAATAATAAAATTCATAATTGATTTCGTATTTGTTTCAAAAGAAATTTTTAGTTTTATTTCTCTCGGACGTATAATAATTTAAATAAAAATAAATATATGTAAAACTCGTAAAAAAGTTGTTTTCAAATAAAATGATTCATTGTATAGGTAGACAACTATTTGATTCTGTGTTTGTATTAACAACTAATTAATGATTCACTCGTTTCGACAATGAATGCCATCCAAAAACATGAGATCATTTGTTTTTTGCAATAAAAACAGATAATATTTATCAGACGTTAGAATAATATTGAAACTAAACATTCAATTTGCACATTTACTTTCGACATGTATTTGATATGATAGAGAGATTACAAGTGAACTGCTTTTGGCGAGAAATTCTGAATAATGTTATAAATAAATCAAAGGCTAATAACTTCGGGAATATTGTTTACACTGA